TAAAGTGGAAGATGTGCTAAAAGTAAACCATAAGGCAGACTTTTAAACATCATGTTGATTCTTGAAACTCTGTACTTATTATTTGAAAAAAAGCTAATTTTATTATACTTTTTAAAGAGCTTTCTAAATTTTGTTCAAAATAGTTTATAGTCAAATGATTAATTTTTAATTGCAAGCAACCTTTCTATGTCGGAAATCATTCTAAGATGTAAGCCTCTCAAAGTGTAATTTTTATGGAAGTTTTTTTGACAGATTTATTCCCAATCATAAAACGCCTTCTTTCAATTCTCTTTGTAAATAAAATGACAAGTGATATCTGAGTTGGAATCTGCACTTCAGTTCAACCTGGAGAGTACTTTCTGAAATGTGTAGAATATTAAGAGCATTAGGATTTTTGGTTGATTTGGTGTATTTTTCAGGAGTGTTAAGACCCATGCTAAGATTTTTTTTTTCTTTTTTGACTGGTAAGGGGATCGCAACCCTCGGCACAGTATGGTCTGCACCACGCTCACGCAGTGAGCTCACCGGCCATCCCTATATAGGATCCGAACCTGCGGCCTTGGCGCTACGAATGCCGCACGCTCCCGAGTGAGCCATGGGGCCGGCCCCCATGCTAAGATTTTTAAAAGCTTTAATCTTGACATTGGTTAAAATAGGAATTCAATGATCACAGAGGTTTCATGGCCTTTCAAAATTAGAAATTCTCTAGGGACACACACACTGATCTGGAGAAAATTTTCTTCCAGCTGCAAACGTACATCTGAGGATTTAAATATGCCCATCTCATTACTGGATAGTCTCTCAGAAAAACCACCAAATTTACTCTGTGTTCAAAAATACTCTTGTATTCCTGACACCCTATCTCTCCATTAACCTGGATTCTCAATCAAAGAAATAAAATCCTTATGCACTCAAGCAGAGTCATTGTTAAATGTTGGTTAAGCTAGAGATTACAGGTATACATTATTCTTGAGAGGAAAGAAAAGCAAACGCTTGAATTAATTCAGAGAAGCAGCCTGGTTCACCCATGATTCATGAGTAAAACCACTAANAACTAAGAAAATTAAAGTTGATATACTGATTTCATTTCCTTTGGTTATATTCCTGGGGTGAGATAGCTGGGTCATAGGGTAGATCTATTTTTAGTTCTCTGAAGAATCTCCATACTGTTTTCCACAGTGGCTATACCAATTTACACTCCTACTAGCAATGTAAAATATTTACTTTTTTCTGCATCCTCTACAGAATTTGTTATTTTTTTTC